TCAACCATTGTGGAAGACAGTGTGGCGATTCCTCAAGGACCTAGAAATAGAAATTCCATTTGACCCAGCAATCCCATTACTGGGTATATATCCAAAGGACTATAAATCATTCTACTATAAGGACACATGCACACGAATGTTCATTGCAGCACTGTTTACAATAGCAAAGATTTGGAATCAACCCAAATGCCCATCAATGATAGACTGGACAGGGAAAATGTGGCACATATACACCATGGAATATTATGCAGCCATCAAAAACAATGAGTTTGTACCCTTTGTAGGGACATGGATGAACCTGGAGAACATCATTCTCAGCAAACTGACACAAGAACAGAAAATGACATACCGCATGTTCTCACTCATAGGCAGGTGTTGAACAATGGAATATGTGGACACAAAGAGGGGAGCACTACACACTGGGGTCTGTTGGGGGGAATAGGGGCGGGACAGTGGGGGATGGGGAGTTGGGGAGAGATAGCATGGGGAGAAATGCCAGATATAGGTGAAGGGGAGGAAGGCAGCAAATCACACTGCCACGTGTGTACCTATGCAACTATCTTGCATGTTCTTCACAGGTACCCCAAAACCTAAAATACAATAAAAAAAAAGAATTTGTACAAAAGGATACTAAAAATTTTCCAAATATGAAAACTACAAACCCACAGATCCAATAAGTTCAATGAATATCAAGCACAAGAAACATGAAGAAAACTACACCAAGATATCATAATCAAAGAACTAAAAGCCACTGATGAAGAGAAAACATTTAAGAAAAAACACCCAGGAAAAAGGACACATTATTTATAGAAGAACAAGGTAAAGATGTCTCATCAGAGACAATGCAACCTAGAAGATAATGGAGCAATATCTTGAATATACGGGAAGAGTAAATCTAGAATTCTTTGCCTAATAAAAATATCCTTTAATGAAGAAGGTAAAATAAAACTTTTTCAAGCATACAAAAGCTGGAAGAATTTTTCACTAGCAGACTTGCACTATAAAAAATTTTAAGAAATTCTCCTTTAAGCAGAAGAAGAAGAATACCAGATGGATACTTGGATCCTCACCAAATAAATAAATGATACCAGAAATTCTAACTAGGTAGTCAATTTTTTTATTATTTAAATCTTTAAAGTTAAAGAGATAATTGAAATTTAAAGCAAAATTAATATGAGCACATTGCGGGATTTATGTAAATTGTAGAAGTGAATTGTATGACAATAGCAGGGAAGCCTGACACTGCACATCGAGTGGTATTAAAGGTAGACTATCTTGTTAAAGATGAAACTCAAAAGCAACCATTTAAACAATGCAAGAAAGAATTAGAGTTAATGAGAAAGAAAGAAAGATACAATGAAATCATAACAAATCCTCAATTCATCTAAAAGCCATCAAAAGGAAGAAAATGAAAGAAAATTAGAACAAATTAAAAGCAAATCACAAGATGATAGATCTAAATGAAACTATATCGATGATCACATTTCGTATAAATAAACACCCCAATCAGAAGCAGAGGTTTTCAGATTAGAAAAAAACAAATGAACAAGATCCAATCCTATGCTGTCGAAAAGAAATCTGCTTTAACTGTAAAGATACAATAGATCAAAAGTAAACACTGGAGAAGGACATAAGTTGACAGTACTCAAAAGAAAGTAGGACTGAGGATCAGTATTAGATGGATAGATTTCAGACTAAGAATATTATCAGGGATAAAAAAATTATTTCATAATGATAAAGGGGTCAGTTGATCAAAAAGATGAATATTAATCCTAAGTAATTATGTATTAATAAAAGAGTTCCAAAATATATGAAACCAAAACTAACAGAACTGAAAGGCAAAATAGACAAACCTACAATCATGATCAGAAATTTTAACATTCCTATTTTAATAATTAGTAGAACAAGTAAGAGATAATCAGAAAGGATAAAGAAGATTTGAACAACATTAGTAATCCACTCACCCTAATTGATACAGAACACTCCAGCCAATTGTAAAATGCTTATACTTTTTCATGTATACATGGAACGTTTACCAAGATGAATTATATTTTGACCCATAACATAAATCTAAGTTTTAAATGACTTATGGCATACAAATATATTCTCCAAACACAAAAATAAGTTAAATTAGAAATTAATAAAAGTATCTAGAAATTCCTAAAGATTTTGGATATTAAATAACATATTTCAAAATAATCCATGGGTCAAAGAAAAATCAAAGGGGAAATGAGAAAACATTTTGAACCAAATGAAAGTGAATGTACACGTATCAAAATTTTGGGGTTACCACTAAACCATTCTTTAAAAGGAAACTTGTGCATTAAGAAGAAACATAATTAAATAACCTTAACTTTCACCTTAAGGGAAAAAAATTGCGAACTAAACCAAAGCAGCAAAAGAAAGAAAATATAGTTCTTAATTCACACTGGTTCAATTGAACAACTTTTCGATTTTACAGTGGTGCAAAAGTGATATGCTTTTAGTAGGAACCATACTTGCAGTACTTATACGACCATTCCATTTTTCACTTTCAGTAGAATTTTCAATAAAGTACATGAGCTATTCAACACTTTATTATAAAATAGGCTGTGTGCTAGATGATTTTGCTCAGCTGTAGGCTCTATAAGTGTTCTGAGCATGTTTACAGTAGGCTAGGCTAAGCCAGGATGTTCAGAAGGTTGGGTATACTTAATGCATTTTCAACTTATGGTATTTTCAGTTTATGATGGGCTTATCAGAATGTAATCCCATTGTAAGTCTAGGAACACCTTTATTAAAGATCAGAACAAATATCAACAAACTGGAAAATGGTGTCACTTCAAATGGGTGGAGAAGAAAACTCCAAAAGTGTGTTCCTCATAAAAGTCACACATAAATTGGCAAAACTGTCAGAATTAGTTTTGTCAGAACTCTGAATACTAATACAAAATTTACAGTAATCAGATGAATGCCTAATCAAATTAAAACAGAAAAACCTACCTCTCCAAAAGGGAGTTTTGCTGTGCTTTCATTTACTTCCGCCCCCATCTTCTCCTCTCTAGCTCTGCAGCCTCCCACACAATGTGGGGAGAAAGCAATAGCCCACATTACCAAGCTAGGTTCTTAATATGAAGGAAGCAGAACAAGCCTCATTCTTAAAGAACTGTAGTTGTTTGTTTTGACTTGTCTATGTCTCCCAGAATAAGTGGTTCAAGGGGCTTGTCTTTATTTCACTTAACTTGAAATTCTCCCAGAGCTAAGTCTACTCAGAGGGCATTAGTAGAAAATATTCCAAGGCAAATGTATGAGCTGCTGCCACCTGGGGCAAGGGATAAGAGTTGGGGCAAACCACTAACTATCCTGGCAGGAAAAGCCAGGGAATAAGATGCCTTGGGAAATAAGGGCTTTGAAAAGGTAGCATATATTTCTGGGAATTTAGAAGGCAACACTCATGCCCAAGAATGATGCATTATCAGAAAATGCCTGAGAACCTAACCTCTCATATATGACTGACCTGGAGATTCTGTGCAAGCCAGAAGTGAATGAAGGCAAAGGCAGAGCTGTAAACTGCCTGGCTGAGGAAGGTCTCTTCCAAAACACATACATAGCCCATCTGCGAATGCCAGGAGATTTTCGTTGTTGTTGTTATTTAAGGCATTTAAGGAAGTTTCTGTCAAATCACTACCTGACAACTAAGCTAACAGAATGGAGATTTCAGTGGCTAGATACGACAAAGAATAGACTTTACAAAATTTGTTCACAAAAGTCACTAACAAACAAGTGACAAAAACCGCAACAAGCAACAATGAAAGAGAAAGAGAAAGAAAGAAAGAAAAAGAAAGGAAGAAAGAGGGAAAGGGAGGAAGGAAAGAAGGAAAGGAGGGAGGGAGGGAGGGAGGGAGGGAGGGAGGGAGGGAGGGAGGGAGGGAGGGAGGGAGGGAGAAAGGAAGGCATCAGACTCCCTGATTTCAAAATATATTATGAGGCGATAGTAACCAAAACAGCATAGTATTGGTATAAAAATATAGACATATTGACCAATGGAGCAAAATGGGGAACCCAGAAATAAGCCCACTTATTAACAGCCACCTGATTTTTGACAAAGGTGCTAAGAAGATACACTGGGGGAAAAACATTCTGTTCAATAAACAATATTGGGAAAACTAGTATTCACTTGAATAAGAACGAAACTGGATCCCCATTTCTCACCACATATAAAAATAAGTCAAGATAGATTAAAGACTTAGATGGAAAATAGGAAACTAGAAAACCACGAGAAGAAAACATAGGGAAACACTTCAGGACATTGGTCTAGGCAAAAGTTCTATGGCTAAGCTCTCAAAAGCACAGAAAACTAAAACTATATAAAACAAAAATAGATAAATAATATTCCCACCCAATTCTCATCTTGAATTCCTACATGATGTGGGAGGGACCTGATGGGAGGTAACTTGATCACGGGGACAGGTATTTCACCTGGTGTTCTTGTGGTGACAGGTGGGTCTCACGAGATCTGATAGTATAATAAGAACAGTTTCCCTGCACAAGCTTCTTTTTCTTTGCCTGCTACCATCCATATAAGATGTTACTTGTTCCTCCTTACCTCTTGCCACGATTGTGAGGCTTCCCCAGCCACATGGAAATGTAAGTCCATATTAAACCTCTTTCTTTCATAAATTTTCTAGTCTTGGGTATGTCCTTATCAGCAGTGTGAAAACAGAAAAAATACAAATACAAACTAAAAAGCTTCTGCACAGCAAAGGAAACAATCAACAGAGGGAAGAGACAATCTGTTGAACGGGAGAAAATATTTGCAAACTATTCATTCAACAAGGGACTAATATCCAGAATATGCAAGGAACCCAAACAATTTAACAATTTTAAAAATCGCATTAAAAAGCGGACAAAAGACATGAATAGACAGCTCTCAAAAGAAGACATACAAATGGCATACAGCATATTTTTAAAATGTTCAGCATCACTAGTCATCGGGGAAACACAAATCAAAATCACAATGACTGCTAGCTTCAGCAGCACATACACTAAAATTGGAATGACACAGAGATTAGCATGGCCCCTTCAGAAGGATAACATGCAAATTCATGAAGCACTCACAACCACAATGAGATATCATATTACTCCAGTTAGAATAGCTATTGTTCTAAAAATTATATAACAGAATCTGATGAGGATTTGCAGAAAAGGGAACTCATACTATGTTGGTGGGAATGTAAATCAGTATAACCACAATGTAAAACAGTATGGAGATTTCTCAAAAAACTAAAAATAAAACTACCACTTGATTCAGCAATCTCACTATTTGGTATCTACCCAGAGGAAAAGAAAACAGTATGTGAAAGGGATACCTGCACTCGCATGCTTATCACAGCGCTATTCACAATAGCAAAGCTATGGAATCATCCTAAACGTCCATCAACTGATGAATAAATGAAGAAAGTGATATGTATGTATGTATGCAATGCAATGCTACTTGGCCACAAAAAAGAATGAAATTATGTTATTATCAGCAATATGGATGGAACTGGAGGTCATGATGTTCAGTGAAATAACCCACACACCAACAGACAAATATCACATGTTCTCACTCATGTGTGGGAGCTAAAAACTTGATCTCCTAAAGATAGAAGAGCAGAATGATAGACACTTGAAGCTGGGAAGGTTGCGTGCATGGGAAGGGAAATGAAGAGAGGTAAGTTAAGAGGTACAAACATATAGTTAGATAAAAGGTATAAGTTCTGTTGTTCAACAGCGGAGTAGAGTATCTACAGTTAACAACCGTGTATTGTATATTTCAAAGTAGCCAGAAGAGAGAACTTGAATTCCCAACACCTAGAAATGATAAATACTTGAAGTGATGAACACCTCAAATACCTGACTTGATCATTACACATTCCATGCTTGTAACAAAATATAAATGTACTCCATAAATATGTAAAATATTATGTATCAATTGTTCTTAAATGCCAACTTAAAATGGATAAAATATTTGAACAAACACTTCAACAAAACGTATACAGAGGGCAAAGAGACACATGAAAATATGCTCAACATTATTAGTCATGGGGACAAGTGTCACTCCATTTTAGATGCTAATCCACCATTTGACTCCTGACTAACCCCAAGTCCAGGAATGCCTCCAAGATGTCTAGTTGACATATTACCCCTTACACAGAAACACCTAGTTACTGGAGTTCACCTCTCCTCCAGAACAACTCTTGATATTGTTGCATGGATCATAGGCTGTGAGGCCCACAGCATTCTTTCAGTTCACCATTATTTCCAGAGCTCATAGACTTTCTCCCCAGTATAAAAGTGCTGGGTCTGGAGGGTATGGTGTGGAGATCTACCTGTCTGGCAGCCACCTAAGATCAGGCTTCTGCCTGCAAGTTCCCTGATAAATCGCCTTTTACCAACAAACTAGATTTGTCTGTGTCATTCTTTGGCTCCTGCATTTGGGGGCCACATTGCATATGTGGCCCTTTTATGGAATTTAGTAATTCAATTAGATGTTAATAAGATGTCAATACAATCTCAAAGGAGAGGTTCAGAGAGAGCAAGATCAATGTGTACCGAGGAGGCTTGGAGGTGTACTGTTTTATGTGTGTGCTCCATAAACAGACTGGATGAAATGAAGAAAATAAAAGATGTCAATATACACCTCTTGGAATGGCCAAGTGTTTGTGATGATGTGGAGGAAACTGAACCTTCATACATTGCTGATGGGAGTGTAAAATGGTACTACTTTGGAAGACTGTTTACAGTTTCTTAAAATGTTAAACATATGCCTAGCATATGGCCCAGGCATTTCTCTCCTAGGTATTTACAAAGAAAAAGGAAAGAATATACCTGTACAAAGATTTATACACCAATGTTCATAGCCACGTTACTTATAATAGCCAAAACCAGAAAACAACTCAAATGTCCATCATTAGGTGAAGGGAGACATAAATTATACTATAGCCACACAATGGAAGAGTACCCAGCAATAAAAATGAAGGAGCTTTTGATACAGGCAAAACCATGGGTAAGTCTCAAAGTAATTATGCTGCGAGAAAAGCCACACAAAAAGTATACATAGACTGTGATTCCATTTATATAAAGTCCTAGAAAATGAAAACTAAAATAGACTGACAGAAGATCAGTAATTTCCTAGAAATCAGGGAATCAGGAAGGGGAGAGAGGTAGGATGAAAAGGGGGCACACGGTCACTTTTGGGGGTAGCAGCTATGTTCATAATCTTGATTGAGGTGGTTATTTCATAGATGTATTCACATGTCAAAATTGATTAAATTGTTTATGTTAAGTATATGTTGTTTACTATGTTTTAATTATAACTTATTGAAGCCATTTAAAGAAACATCTATGTTTTCCTAAATAAATTAGTGAGAAAAGTGTCACTGCTTGATATTTTTGCACATGTGCTTTATGTCATACTTAATAAAAGGCAGCTGGATTCTCGTTATCTGCTTGCTACATTCAATATGTTACATTATGTTGTTTTAGTTTAAATATATAAAGAAAATCCATCTTCACACAAGTATGTAGTTGGACAGGGACAGATGTTTTAATAGCTTTTTTAGATAATTGTGGATACTCTTTTTTGATACCACACCAGAGCTTGACAAGTGGTCGTGTCCTAAAGTTGAGTTGCAGTATAGAATCTGACACAACAGGCTTTCCATGCTCTCTCATGTTAAAATCCATTGGTCCATTATATAATTGAAATGAATCTTTTTCCATGTACAGCATTATAAAAGCACGGTCATTTGGCAAATATTGGTTTGCTGAGTTATACAGATCTTCCAAATGTTGATACATAATGTTGTATATGTGTACACATATATATATATGTACACACACACACAATATGTATGTAAATAATATACTACTGATCTGATCAAAAAAAGTCATCAAGTATTGGAAAGCTATCAAACTTACTGTGGTGAACACGAGTTTTCCAAGATTCTAGTTGTCACTTGAAAATTCAAATTTTATAATTGGCAACAAATGCTGGCAGCTATTTTTCTTAAAATGACAGCTTCACTTTATTCATTTTCTAGAAAAGTCTGCCAAATATTCAAATCTAAAAATCACAATTTCTTTGTCAGTGCTATGGTCTAAACGTTTGTATCCCTCCAAAATTCATATGTTGACACCCAATCACCAATGTGATAATATTAGCAGATGGGGCCTTCAGGAGGTGATTAGATCGTGAGAGAAATGCCTTCATGAATGAAATTGTGCCCTTATAAAAGAGGCCCCAGAGAGCTGCCTTGTGCTCTTTCACCATGTAAGGATGCAGCAAGAAGGCATCATTCTATGAACTAGCAAATGGGCCCTCCCCAGACACTGAATCTGCAGCCTCTTGATCTGACACACCTGCCTCCAGAACCATAAGAAATAGATTTCCATTGTTTCTAAACTGCCCAGTTTATGGCATCTTGTTATAGCAGTCGGAACAGACTAAGATAGTCATTCAAAACAAAAAGTGGTTTTCCCTAAAGAAAGTGACAAGTTCGGCTTGCGGTTCAGTCTCACAAGAGCTTTTCTTTGAAAGAGCCATTAGGCTTTGGAATACAGCAAATGTGTTTTATGCATACTTACCATTTCATAACACCACATATTAAAGTTATTGATTAAAGGGTTCAGATTTAATATAGTTATTTTTACATCAAGAACTTTTTTTTGCTCTTGCTGCCCAGGCTGGTGTGCAATGGAACAATCTTGGATCACTACAACCTCCACTTCCCAGGTTCAAACGATTCTCCTGATTCAACCTCCCAAGTAGCTGGGATTACAGGCATGTGCCACCATACCCGGCTAATGTTGTACTTTTAGTAGAGTTGGGGTTTCTCCGTATTGGCCAGGCTAGTTTCAAATTCCCGACCTCAGGTGATCCATCCACCTCAGGCTCCCAAAGTGCTGGGATTACAGGCATGAGCCACCACACTCAGCCATCAAGAACATTCTTAACTGAAACCAGTAAGATTTTTATATAAGCACATGGTGAATTAGGCATTGGGCACAATGCCTCATAGTTCAGTGTGATGCCAGTGCTTTCATTTGTGTTATGTTATCAGCAGTTTTACCCACCACTGTATGTGAACTATCAGTTCAAAGATCAACACAGTGGAAAAGGGTGTCTGGCATCCCTTGGTGCATGAACCATACTTCAGGGACGGTGGCCCTAGCCTGAAAGCACAACCCCTTGTGCATGACTCAAGTTATCCTGACAAGTTATCTAATCCCAAGAGATCAGAATGTGTCCGTAATAAGACCAGCCACACTTGCGAGTCCTATGTCATTCATTTCACGAGCATTTGCTGAGTGGTTTCTCCGGGTCAGGTCCAATTCTAGGTGCTGGACATTAGGGGGTATGATGGTTAATTTTATGTGTCAACTTGTCTAGAGCACAAGGTGCCCAAACATTTGGCTGAACATCATTTCTGCGTGTGTCTGTGGGTGTTTCCAGAGGAGATTAGCATTTGAATCTGTGGAGCTGGTAAAGCAGATTGCCCTCCCCAATGTGAGTGAGCATCATTCAATCTGTCGAGGGTTTGAATAAAATCAAAGGTGGTAGAAGGGAGAATTCTCTTTCTCTCTGCCTGGCTTCTTGAGGTAGGACATCAGGTTTCTTCTATCTTTGGACTGGAACTTACACCATCGGCATGCCTGGTTCTCAGGACTTTGGACTTTGACTAGAACTTCCACTACTGGTTCTTCTGGTTCTCAGGTCTTTAGACTCTGGTTTTCAGGTCTGTAGACTAGAACTACATCACTGACTTACCTGGGTCACCATCTTGGAGATGGCAGATCATGGGACTTTTCAGCCTCCATAATCACATAAGCCAGCTCCTTAAAATAAATCTCCTGTGTACTTATCTGTCTATCTATCTATCATATTGTTTCTGTTTCTCTGGACAAGCCTGCCTAATATGGGGCTAAGAAAAGAAGCATAAACATCAATGCAGAGGCTATTCCATAACCCCAAGCACCAGACCAGAACAGGATGTGCAGAAGAGGTGAGAAGTCATCAGATGTGCTACCGACGTATATGAGAGACAAGTGGCATTGAACTCCAAGATTTGGGCCTGTACAACT